CCGTTGGTGCTCCCTGGGGTTGTACCTGGTGTTCCCTGGGGTGAGAACGCTTAGTGTAGCTACTTTCGCCTTTCAGAAACCTGCTCCTGCAAAAGTGGAAGCAAAGCCAAAAAAGGCGGCGGGAAAGGTAAGTTTCAAAACTTCCCCAAGGTGAGCTGGGGCCTGAGGCTGCCGTGCTGCTCAGTACGTGACTTTTTATCTGTTTACTTGTGTGGATCTTGTTTACGGGTGAATAACTCCAGCAAAGTGTTTCTTCTGGAAGGATAAAAAGGAATGGCTATATCCATCTGGCTATGCAGTGTAACGTATCACACGAACGCTGCTGCAGAAGCTAGGAAACTTCAGACGGCAAAAAATAGCAGAAATAGTAACTTAAGCCCACAGGGGAAGTGTGTTCTTTGGGTCGTGTACATGATGGCTGGCCCTTGTCCTTTCGTGGCGTGCTTGTACTTCCTCTTATGACGATGAAGCAGCCGAGGTGGAGTGAGGCCGGGAGAAAGGGAACGTGTAGGTTTTGGTACGTAAAGTTCCCAAGCCAAGAGAGAGGGGACCTTACCTTTAGACGTAGGGGCTGGGCGTCAGTAGAGAGTTGTGTTCTCTGAGAACGTTGCTGTCGGCATTCTCACAGTGTGTCATTTACAGTTACACAAAAATGGTCAGAATAAATTCACGAAAGAATAATTCAGATATCAGGTCTTAGGAATGAAGTTGTTTTTTTGGTATATTTGTGTTTGGTATATGTTTGTAAGTTATCAAAACTTGGGTTTGAAAACCAGAATATATGTAAAACATTTATAAACTTTGAGAATCACATTGAAACCACTGTAGAGTGCTACATGTTCTTCATCGGGTATTTAAGTGAGAGTTTGCTATTTGAGAATGCTAAATTTCCCTTTCATATTTTTTTCTTTCCTTATTATCTTTGTCCATCTTAATTTGCTGTAAAATCATTTTTTAAGTGAAAGCAGTTCAAGTTTTACTCCAGTGTGTTATGCAGTGTTGTCTCAAATATATATGTATTTTTTTTAACTTTTAATTTTTTTATTTTAAAATGGGTACAATTCAGGGTTAGGTATACAAATGTTCATTATGCAGTTACCCTTGATGATGAGGTGTGTCCCCCCTTCCCCAGGCAGATTACCACTACTGCCAATCCCATTTCCCCACCTGCCTCCTGGCAGTTTCCCACTACTGCCAATCCTTTTCTCCTAGTATTATGATAATTGTTCAAGGTCCGCTTATGAGTGAGAACATGTGATACTCAGTTCTTTGTTTCTGTGAAAGATCACTCAGTATTATAGACTCTAAGTCCATCCTGGTTGCCGTGAAGTTCATGATTTTGTTCTTTATGGCTACGTAATATTCCATCCACATTTTTTATGCAGTCCTCTTTTGATGGGCAGCATAGTTGGCTCCATGTTCTTGCTCAAATATATTTGTTTACACAATTTGTTATCAATCTAAAAGATGTTGGGTTATGAGAAATCATTGTGTTGTCTTTATATATGGAATGCGACTGTTGCTACAGAATACTTTGTGGTGAATTTTTTTTCCCCTCTTAGCTTTGGAGTTGTGAAAAATGTTTTGCATTGCTGACATTTGCTGTTTAATATTGGAATACATTCTTAAATGTACATATGGTTATATTATACATCATTTTCATGCACATTTCTCTCTCTTTTTTTGCTAATGACTTATTACTTGCTGTTTATTTTACATTTATTTTAGACTATGGAAATGATGTTAGACAAAAAGCAAATTCGAGCGATTTTCTTATTCGAGTTCAAATTGGGTCACAAAGCAGTGGAGACAACTCGCAACATCAACAATGCATTCGGCCCAGGAACTGCTAAGGAGTGTACAGTGCAGTGGTGGTTCAAGAAGTTTTGCAAAGGAGACGAGAGCCTTGAAGATGAGGAGCGTAGTGGCCGGCCATCAGAAGTTGACAATAACCAATTGAGAGCAATCATTGAAGCTGAGCCTCTTATAACTACACGAGAAGTTGCTAAAGAACTCAACATTGACCATTCTACGGTCGTTCGGCATTTGAAGCAAATAAGAAAGGTGAAAAAGCTCAGTAATTTGGTACCTCATGAGCTGACTGAAAATCAAAAAAATCGTCATTTTGAAGTGTCATCTTCTCTTATTCTACGCAACAACGAACCATTTCTTGATCGGATTGTAACGTGCGGCGAAAAGTGGATTTCATACGACAACCAGCAACAACTAGCTCAGTAGTTGGACCAAGAAGAAGCTCCAAAGAACTTCCCAAAGCCAAACTTGTACCAAAAAAAGGTCATGGTCACTGTTTGGTGGTCTGCTGCCAGTCTGCTCCACTACAGCTTTCTGAATCCTGGTGAAAGCATTACATCTGAGAAGTACGCTCAGCAAATCGATGAGATGCACAGAAAACTGCAATGCTTGCAGCCAGCATTGATCAACAGAAAGGCCCCGATTCTTCTCCACGAGAACATCCAACCGCATGTCACACAATCAATGCTTCACAAGTTGAATGAATTGGGCTACGAAGTTTTGCCTCATCCACCATACTCACATGACCTCTCGCCAACCAAATACCACTTCTTCAAGCATCTTAACAACTTTTTGCAGGGAAAACACTTCCACAATCAGCAGGATGCAGAGAATGCTTTCCAAGAGTTTGTCGAATCCCAAAACACTGATTTTTACACTACAGGAATAAACAAACTTATTTCTCGTTGGCAAAAATGTGTTGATTGTAATGGTTCCTATTTTGATTAATAAAGATGTGTTTGAGCCTAGTTACAATGATTGAAAATTTACAGTCTGAAACTGTAATTACTTTTGCACCAACCTTTATTTCCTATTTTATATATTAATTGACTTCCGACCCCCACTCATCGCACTCACTCATACCCAAAACTCTTTAGGTACATAAAATCTGTTAAACAACACTTTCATTATCCAAGAACTTCCAAACTCCTGATCCAGTAATCTTCTCTGATTAGCATGCCAATAGCATTTATAGTAAAAAAAATACCCTTATATGGCTTCACCGTTGACTGCCAAAAGCACATGTTGAAGCCTCCATTGCTGGCTCCATCATACAGCAGTACTACTAAAACTTGGTGACTATGGAATAATATGAGTAACAATAATTCTAAACTCCTTAACAGACTTTGTAGCCTATCCTTATCTTTCCCTTTGAGAAATAATCATGACAAGCTCTGTTTGTTTATATCAAACAGACCTGAAATCATTAATTGCTTATTCCTCAGTAAGTTATTGTGGCCATCTTCAAACACCATGAAGCTTTATAGAAACAACTGCCTTAATAATTACCCATGGCTTCAACTCATCTTTAACATTCTGCCTTGCCAATTCAAATTAGTGCATTCACAGTCGAGTCATGCTACTAGGTCAAGGCCTACAGACTTTTTTTTTAGCCCTAATAGCTGTATGATAACTTCTAGCCAGCCTCACAAATCTCATGCTACCCCCAACTATTTAATCAGAGAACTATTTGTAAAAACAGCTTTCTTTTCATGATCACATCTAACTTTTTCTTTTTTGCGGGGGGAATGTCCACCAGAGATTTAATGTTTAAATACGATTGTCATGTTGGGAAAATGAAATAAACACTGTAAAATAAACTGTATAAGGCAAAGTAGAATAACAGTATTTTAGTAAAACATAAGATTTACAGAAGTCTCCAGACAAGCCATACAAAATGGTCACAACTCTTTGAAGAGGGGAATCTACACTTGACAGCAAAGTCACCATGCCGTTAGTGAGGGCTGTGGTTTTGTTTAATGTTTCCATTTTGATTCAAACAATCAAGCTTGTACATCTACGGCGTCTAAAAGTTAGACTTGGCTAGAGAGCATATTTTAAAGAACTGGTTAGCTGCTTTCAACCAATGCAATTAGATCACCATAAAAAGGGAGAAAGGCTCCTGTAAAATAAAACTACCTCCCCCCCTCAAAGAAATAAAAACACCCACCCCTGGCAGCTAACCCTGACAACTACCTTCATTCACAGTGCTTTATACTTAAACCATGATGGGGCAATGAACAAACACAGAGGCCGCTGCTTTTACATGCTTGGTGACAATCCAGATGACACTGCTAGCCTCTGCTCATGCTTACAACAGTGAATCGGGACAAGACAGAGGTTTGCTGATGTGCATTTACTCACCAAAGGACTGAAGATGTCTGGGCTTTTATTCTGAATGTTTCTAAGACTGTCCATTAAATGAACAAAAAGGGAAGAGGTCTTGGCAGAGCAGGAGAAGTGATGTGCACCTGATGATCAGATGGAATTAAATATTCATGACATATAGCCTAGTCCATGCTCTAGATGTTTCTATGACTTGGGCCTCGTTCTTCCACTGCTCTGCAACGTCGTTTGCTAGCAGGTCATTTGAGTTGGGAGCACTTAACAAAGCCTGGATTGATAGCAGGACTGTGCAGATCTGCAGTGCCAGGGACCACTTATCTTTCAAAATATCTAAACATATTCTTCCCAACTTGTCTACATTAGGATGATAGATTTTGGTCATGAAATGTACTTTAGCGGCTGCCATTGGGTATT